CAGAAACCAAAAAGCCTCAGGATTTGTTCCTTGATTTGAAGTTAAGACCATGATTTCAGGACATCCTAGCTAACTGGCCTAAAAAATGTGCTTCCTCCGGTTCTACTCCTAGTTCCTTTTGTGGTGCCCCGGGTCCACTGACGCAGCAGACAGAGAGAGAGAGAGAGAGAGAGAGAGAGAGAGAGAGAGAGAGAAACAGGAGGAGGGTGTGGAATGTGAGGCCCAGTCCCACCAAGAACAACTGCTTCCCTACTGTGAGACCAGGAGGACTAGATGGTGCCTGGCTCCTGTTACTGAGATTCTATAGAACATTCCAGATCAAAAAAAGGGAAAAGGCAGAAGAGAATTTCAAATTCTCCTTGTTTTCTGGCACCATGGGGCCCGGATAACACCTTAAAACAATTGCTATGAAATAGTGAAGCCTTACACCAGAAGTAGTCCCTAAAGCCTTGTTACCACCAAACAGTGGTTTAGCTAAACTGGTAAAAAGTCTTCCTTGAGCACTCACTCTTTAAAGATCTCTCTCTATGGGGCCAAACTGACAACAGCAACTGGAAACATGAGATGGGAACCTTAGGGGCTGTGAGTTTATGTCAGTGGGCGGGGGTGGGGGTGGGGGTGGGGAACGGACCCCAGAGAGGGAGGATGAGAACGACTGCCCAGCCTAAACAGCACCCTCAGTGACACTGGACGGTCCATGCAGACATGGGTGAGCTGTTCCCGCTCTGCTGTGTGTGTTCTCCACATGACGACAAAGCAAAATGTTACACTGAAAGTGAAAAAAACCCAATACATAAAAGCAGGCATGCCTTTTGAAAAAAGTAACATGTAATGGTGAGACTGAAGCTTGCAAGGCCTGGATGTCTTCTTTATTCTTCAAATTCTCAGTCCCAACCAAACCCACCGCCATCGAGCTGATTCCAATCACAGTGACTCTGCAGAAGAGAGCAGAATTGCCTCTCTGGATTTCTGAGGCACACATCTGTATGGGAGCAGAAAGCCTCTTTCAATAGATGACAAATAATAGAATAATTAAACAGACGTACTGAAATAGGTTACAAAATGATATGAATGGATTTCTCTGGAACCACACAGGCTTGAGTTCACAAGAGAGCTGTCTTTCTTTTAATAGTGAATAAACATGTTTTGGTCTCCATCTCAGGAATCTCTCCAATTTGAAAATGGACTTGAGAAGGTATTCGCAAAGGAGCACCGTATTCGGACACTCTAGAATGGCTAAGTTAAAAACAGTCCATTTATGTACTTTTGGGAACTGAAACATGAATATTACAAGAGACTATGAAAATAACTGACACATTTCACGGTGGAATGTCTCCTTGTACATAGCTTGGATTGTGTACATCCAAACTATCAAATGACCAGAGCGTTATTAACTCCAGTACACCTAAAGAATTAGAAACCCATCACCAAAGACAATCAGACAGCAACCAGATGGGCTTTGTATAAAGCACTGGACTCCCCCTTGGCTCTGGCTGAATAAAAGAAGGCATGCCTGACCCACGCCAGATATCTTCAATAGGCTCACTTGCATGTGAAAGTTGGACACTGAATAAGGAAGATGGAAGAAAAACCGATGCATCTGAACCATGGTGCTGATGAAGAATCTTGACAGTACCATGGCCCGCCCTAAGAACAAGCAAACCTGGCTTGGAAGAAGTACGGCCAGAATGCTCCTGAGAGGCAAGGATGGCGAGACTTCCTCTCACGTTCTTTGGACATGTGATCAGGAGAGGCCAGTCCCTGGAAAAGGACATCATGCTTGGGAGAGTGGAGGGGCAGTAAAAAAGGAGGAAGACCCTCGATGAGATGGACAGACACAGTGGCTGCCAGAACTGGCTCCGATGTAGGAATGATGGTGAGGCTGGTGCAGGACTGGGCCGTGTTTCACTGTTTTATGTAGGGTTGCTATGAGTCAGAACAGACTCACGGCCCCGCACAACAACAACATGGTATTGTGGAAGTAGCTAGGGAGGGATTCTTTCTCACCATGGTGTACATGGTACACAAAACTCTCAGTTGGTATTTATTTGTTATCAATAATAATAATTAGTATAAGAATATATGCATTTTATTAATAATTTTATTGGGAGCTCTTACAGATATTATTATACAATCCATAATTCAATTAGATCAAGCATAATTGTCCAATTGCTGCCATCATCAGTTTCAACACATTTTCTTTTTTCATGAACTCCTTGATTATCAGCTCCTCTTTATCCCCTCCCCCCCAACCCTACCCCCAGAAACCCTTAATATCGGATGATATATATACATATAGAGAGAGAAAGAGAGAGAGAGAGAGAGTGTGTGCCTTATCTTATACCATCTAATGGGATCTTACACCTACAATTCTGTTATTCCCCTCCAGTGGAGTTAGACAGTCATCATTGCTACCAGCTTCTCCTTCCACGCTCCCTCTTCCCGTACCCTCAAGGAATCATTGCTCCCATGACTGTTTCTGAAGGGTTATCTATCTTGGCTTTCAAACTATCTTAATTATACAAATGAACATACGCAGGTCTAACAAGATGAATGAGGTAAAACAAAAACCATAATAGTGAGGGGAGTAAATATTAAAGATCTAGAGGAGAGTTATGCATTTCATCAGTGCTATGCTGCACCCTGGATATATGATGACTTCCATGTGCCACTACTGTGTGCGGCTGTTGAATTATCTTTCAGATGGGTTTTGGGTCTCCACTTTGTCCACACTCCTTCATGCCAATTTGCTTGCTTGTTTTTGAATTTCTGATATCTATACCCATTGACACCTTATGATCACACAGGCTGGTGTATTTCTTCCACATGGGCTTTGTTGCTTCCCTGCTTGATGGCTGCTTGTTTAACATCAAGTCTTTAAGACCCCAGATGCTGTTTCTTTTAATAGCTGGGCACCATCAGCTTTCTTCATCACATT